TCAACACGTTCGACGCGCTCGAGCCGCGGGCGCTCGAAGCCATCGCCGCTGGCCGCTGCGTCACGGACGGCCGGGCGACTCCTCCCATCTACTCCATCGGACCTCTGATCAAGTCGGACGGGAGGGAGAAGGCCAACAGGGCGGAGTGCTTCGAGTGGCTCGACGTTCAGCCCCGACACAGCGTGGTCTTCCTTTGCTTCGGCAGCCTGGGCTTGTTCACAGCCGCGCAGCTGAAGGAGATCGCCGCGGGTCTGGAGCGAAGCGGGCAGAGGTTCCTGTGGGTTGTGCGGAGCCCGCCGAGTAACGACCCGGCGAAGCGTTACGAGAGGCCGCCGGAGCCGGACCTGGACGCGCTACTGCCGGAAGGTTTCCTGGAGCGGACAAGGGAGAGGGGTCTGGTGGTGAAGTCATGGGCTCCGCAGGTTGAGGTGCTGAGCCACGATTCGGTGGGGGGGTTCGTGACCCACTGCGGGTGGAACTCGGTGCTGGAGGCGATCGTCGCCGAGGTGCCGATGGTGGGGTGGCCACTGTACGCAGAGCAGAAGATGAACAAGGTGTTCCTGACGGAGGAGATGCGGCTGGCGGTGGCGATGGACGGATACGAGGGGGAGCTGGTGTCCGCAGAGGAGGTGGAGGCCAAGGTTCGTTGGCTGATGGAGTCGGAGGGGGGCCGACAGCTGAGGGAAAGGACGGCAGCAATGAAGGAGAGAGCGGCGGAGGCGCTCAGAGAAGGCGGCTCGTCGCATTCGGCGCTGGCGAAGTTGGTGGGCCAGTTGAAAGGCGAGGTGTGTGGCAGCTGAGTAAAGGTGGACCTCGGTCGTCGTCAAATACTTGCCGTTGTCTTTGACGGTGACAATGGGTTCAGTCCCTACCGCAGCGAATAATAATGTGGTAATAGTCATTGGATTTTGGGTGGCTGTTGTCGATGTTCCGTGTTTTTTATCGTCCATTTGATCTGTGGACTAGTTCTGAAGTTGTACTTGCTCATTTGGTCACCGTTTGAAAAAATTAAATACCACTCCTATTATTCTCAATATATTTTTTTTCTTCACTCACAATTATTCTTTCATTCTTCTATTTTAAGGAGAAATTTATGTCTTCAACATTGATAGGGAACCTTAGGATGTGGCCAATGGATCAGACTTGGTTTAATCTTAAATGCACAGAATCGCCTATGTGGTTACTCAAATGGAGGCATGTTAGGTTTGGTCCAGGTTTCGTCATCAAAATGCAAGGAGTTGCTCTTCCTCCCCTACCAAGTTGTTGCTCCTTCCTCGTTAAGTTCCTGCACACAGGCCGAAGTTGAGAATGAGATTTTCTGACTCAACTCATCTGAAGCCCGAGTCAATGTTGAATGGTGTTCGAGGGAGTTTGAGTGTTCAAAGTCTCACCTTCCGGTTGTACATGGTTTGTTAATGATCTGTTAATAACTATCGACTCCTCGGGTAACCGACTCATACCTTCTGTACGGGCCCTGATCGACCTGTACGGATCGACGCCGTGTGACACCATTCCCAACTTTCCGGAGCAACTTTGTACTATGCTATATTGTCTTGTACGACCTCGGACAATGTGGGAACAGACGATCATCTCATCCAAGTTCGAAGTATCGCATCAACGTAATGTATCATATCAATCTTGAAAATCCACGTTGTCACTGATGTAACTACTGATTGTTGTCGTAGGAATGATATCAGAATATATCCTATCAAACTTAAAAAAAATATTTTTAAATGAGTGATATAATCATATTGTACCGTCTTGAACTTATCATAATACTTGAAAAGGTCACAATTTGAGCTGTAATGGCACTGGAAAGGTAAATTTTTACTAATTCAATCATGAGAGGAAACAATCGGGAAGAGAATCCATGTTTTTTGGATGTAATTTAAAGCATATTTTATCCACTTTGTAGCATATATATAGATCCACATCTTTGTGCCAAATCTTCAACAAATGTAGCTCTAAACAGCCAAAAGGAAAATAATTTAATGTCATGCAACTCTTATCCAACATGCAAACCAAAGGAAAGGAAGAGAGAAATCACATGGAACAGAGATAGCTCTCACAAGTTTCTCCAGAAGGCAATGTCACTGTACATGGCTTTCATCTTCACCTTGATCCTCTTCTTGGCCTTTTTCTTCTCCATCCACCCTTTCCCCAAAACTCCCTTCCCAATCAGAAACCCCTTGGCTCATCTGAGAGGTTGGGGGAGCCGCTGGAGAAGGGCAGCACCATGACATGCCTGTCAAGGATGTGGCAAAGGGAGCTCAGATCAAAGGAGTCATACAATACAATGAACTTCCACAGTCCCAAACAAGCATCATTTTCTCCCTTTTCTATTCCTCATCTTTCGATGTGACTTCTGCTTTTCTTCTACTTTTTCTCTCTCTATGTAGAACTCAAAACGAGTTGTACTCTTTGAACGACCGATGAATCGACTGACATGGAGATTTTGTGAAGTGAGATCGTATGGGCAATCCGATCGTAAGCGGTCATATCAGTGATGACGTGATTCGGGATGATTGGGTAGGTAGTGTAAGATTTTTCTGGCTGCAAGATTTTCTCTTGAGTTTGAATCGTTCGATTATCCTCGAGAGATGGTTTGTCTTGTCTTAATGTAATTATGTCGTAACAACGGGGTCACATCTTGGTCGTCTATAATCATGCATGATCGATATCGAGAGTTGCTCGGCACGCTCCTCCAATGCTTAAGTCAGCGAAGAGGAAAAGATAATATTGTAAACTACGTGATTATATTAGTGTGTCGAGAGTTCTCCCCTTCAGTATGAGCTGATGAGTTCTTTTATACCCGATCTGAGAGCCTTCTTAATAATTCGTTTGTGATAAGATTATGTGAACTGTATGATCATTCTTTGATCTTGATAAGGTAAGACAGTGACCTAGAGTCTTGCTTAGATGTTGATCTCAATTGGTATATGAGCTAACATGGGGTAAAATCATCCTTATCAACTATGATGGTTCCGAGGAGTAAAGACAATTTGCTTCTATATCTCACTCAATTAGATTAATTTTTTTTATTGGTTGCTTAACGTGAATACCGTAATCTCTATAATTAGAATCTTCGCAGGTGATTTATATACATCATTTAGCTTGTGATGGTTTCTATCTCCTAAAGAAACGAGTGGGTGCAAGAAATATGAGCCCAGAATAATTAAACAAACACGATTAATATTTATAAATAATTAGATTTAAATTACTTGGATAAATAGTAATTAATCTTGGTGAATTAAGATTTGGATTTGGATTAAGAATTTAAGTTATGAACGGAGTAGAATGAACTTAATATAATATTTATTTTTAGAAAGCAAAATAAATTTGGGTGGAGGATTGATAATTACTATATTTTAGGATATAATTAATATTTATTTTTAGAAAGAAATAAATCAGACGAACAGATTATTTTTATAAAGAAAACAATTAATATTTATTTTCCAATTCAGACGAAAAGAACGAAACAGAATGAACAGCGTTGGATGGCGGACTCGTGAGTAGGTGAACTACGTGTCAATTGTCATTTTTTGAGATGCACAATGTTTTGGAGGAAAAGTGAGAGTTTATGGGAGGAATGTTGGAAAATGAGATGATCATATACTTCAGCTTCCAATGGAATCCGAGGAACATGCAAAAGCCTTCCTTTCATCTATAAAAACTTGCTTTTTTGCAATATGGTTTTTTTATACAAGTAGGAGACATATTGTTTTTTGCAATATATTTTTTTATTTAAATTAGTAAATTATTTTGTCGGATTATGTTAATCTTGAATAGTTTGATTGATATAGCTAAGTTTTTCCAATTTGACCAATCAATCGGCATATCTTATTGTTATACCTTAAAAGGTTAGGGCATAATCATGAAATCTTATTATGATCCTTATGTTTATGTAATAATGTCGGAGACACCTTTCAGATAGAAATAATATGCTCTTGATTTGAAAATATCGTACTTCTAATATATCACTTGCATGAAAAACGAGATAATAAGAGGTTTTCAAAACAAATTTCTCTGATATAAAATGGGGAGAGCATAAGTTTTTTTATCTTATTTAAAATATATTTTTTATACCTTAAAGAATGAAAAAATAATTTATGATTACTTTTCTTATAATAAAAGAAGAGAATAAAGTTTGATATTATCTTGTCAAAGAGAATAAAGTTTATAATTATATCCTTTGTTATAATAAATAATATTTTTTAATTTTTAATTTTTATAAATTTTTTCTTGCACTATTCTTTTTTATCATATTGGCAAATACAATTTTCTTAACCGTATCATGCATTTTTGCAGCCTTATATCTCACTTCCAAGATAAAGAGACAAGTCTAGCCATGCAACATCTAGAAACTTTCTGATCGAAATCATTCTTCCATCTAACAAGTAATATATATCTTCACCCCCACCACATAATACAATGTTTCATGTACTGTCATCCATTGCCACTGACACACACACACAGACAAAAGGAGGCATCAATTATTGGTCTGAGGCATCAATTATTGTTAGCGTTTCTTTTTTTCTAATCTTAATTTTATTTTTTAGAAATATTTTTATTTTTATTACAGAAAACAATTGTTGAAATATGTTCTATCTTAAGTTTTTCGATTATATGACATTTTTTTATTGCAAATGGTGTTTGGAACTGAGATATTCTCAGCTTAAATATAATGGATGTGTCATTATTTGATTCATTGGTCCACAGTTAACTCAATGACATATTCTCTGACGTGACCACGTGTTGTCTGACAGGTGATTGAATCATGTAGCTGTGATGGAAATTAAATTCAACAGTAATTACTTGTGTACTCGAACTCGTCCGATTTCTGAACGCACGTGCGATCATCGTGTGAAGATGAGTTAAGAGCTTCTCTCATCCATCAATACGGTTCAACCACTGCGGTCGGTTCGCCTCTTACTGACACGTCGTGCACACCTTCCCAAACACGTCCACATTCATCGGGTTCAGGCGAAATCGCCCATGAGACAACGGAGCCATTTCCACCACCGGTCGATAGAAATGTGGCCTCATATAATTCGACGATGTCGCTTTGGTAAAGATAGAGAGAGAGAGAGTGTGAGAGAGAGAGAGAGGATATGTTTGCTGCGGAAGAGAGGAAGCGGGGAGGAGTGGTGCTGTACCCGTCACCGGGGATGGGCCACCTGGTGTCCATGATGGAGCTCGGAAAGCTCTTCGTTCTCCACGGAATGGCCGTCGCCGTCGTCACCGTCGACCCACCTTACAACACCGGCTCCACCGCGGCCTTCATTTCCCGAGCCTCCGCCGCCAACCCCTCCATTACCTTCCACCGCCTTCCCCCCGTCGCCCTCCCCCCCAACCCCTCCCCCAACCACGAGGCCCTCGCCTTCGACCTCCTCCGCCTCTCCAACGCAAATCTCCTCAACTTCCTCCGCGAAACCGCCCCCAGAGCCATCGTCGTCGACTTGTTCTGCAGCTTCGCCCTCGACGTTGCCGCTGAGCTCTGCATCCCCTGCTACGCCTTCTTTACCTCCGGCGCTAGCGTCCTCGCCACTTTCTTCTACATCCCGACGTTGCACTCCACCACAGTCAAGAGCTTCAGGGAGCTCGGCAGCGCCCCGCTGCTGGTCCCCGGGATCCCGCCATTGCCCGCTGACCACATGCCGCTCCCAATGCTGGACCGCGAGGACGAGGCCTACAAGGGGTTCCTCCACGTCTGCTCCCGCTTTCCGGACGCCCACGGCATCATC